CGTGGTCCTAAGTCTCACATATGAAATGTAAATCTTCTCATATTTTTCATGAGCTGGCAGGCTTTTTTGCAAAAGGTCTAATTCGTTTATAATATCAATACGTTGTAGCACTCTATAAGATGAACATGGACCTTAGCGTGGCGACTTGTTAGAGTTAATCGTATCCCACATCGGAAGTTGAATAGAAACGTTATCGGTATATAAGGTCTTGAGTTAAACTAAGTAATCGATTGGATTCAATCTTTTAATGTGGTTCAACCCAAGTGTCTTATTACCCAATCCAGTTGTTTCTACCCAATCCTAATTATAAATTCTATCATGGTATCAGAGCAGGTTTTGGCCCACCTTGTTTGTCAAGGTCCGTCTAGACGTTCATTCCTAGCGGCCCGTTTGTCTTTAGCCCAGTTGTCCGTATGAAGTGTGTACCCAACGGCCTGTGGCCTGTTTAACATGATTGCTCGTCTGGAAGTCCATACCCAGCGGCTCGTGGTCTTTAGGTGTTGGCGCTCAAAAAAAAAAGTCAAGGGATTGGGAGTTCATTTACAAGTGGTCAACCGGTTAGATTCAAAATGGTCCGGTTGTCCACTTGAGGGGGAGTGTTAGAGTTAATTGTATCCCACATTGGAAGTTGAATAGAAAAGTTATCGGTATATAAGGTCTTGAGTTGAACTAAGTAATCGATTGGATTCAATCTTTTAATGTGGTTCAACCCAAGTGTCTTATTACCCAATCCAGTAATCCTTACCCATCTTAAATTCTATCACGACTGACAGAAATTCAGCCGCGGCACCCGCCGGTCCCAAAACCCAGCGATTTTGGACATGCAGCCGTCCATTGTGACGGTCCGCTGTGCCGGATCGAATTTAATTTTTTTTTAATTTTCCAGTCACCATTGCACCGGCTGTCCATTGCAACGGCCTGCGGCGCGGCTCCTTTCTTTCCTTCCGGTGTGGCTGTTTTCGGCCTCCATTGTGAATGCTCTTAGGATCAAATTCGCGAGTTTTATTATGACATTGCTTTGGTCAAGAAGGAAAGGTTGGACAGGTTGACTAGCTGCATGTTATGTAGGTCCAAGTTGAAATAATTAATGTACATAGAATGTGTTGAGATAATAATAATAAATGGTCGGAGGTTTGTGCACAAAAACAATCAACTTGGGCGCTGGCCTTTTTGCAACGGTTGACCTAAGACGACGAAGGAAAGGATTCCATTATAATAATATAAAAAAAGAGTCAAATCTGAGCGGTTGGTTGACCACCTTTGTCTGAGTCAGTCCATCTATACTGAGTTATTGCCAAGGCCGAAGGCTGCGGCGGCTCTTGAACGAACTTTTCCCATTGAAGAACGTAACGGTTAGCAAGCTAGCCCTCTTTAAAATTTTGACTAAAAAAAGACTACTTGGGAGATATTTACTCATTCTATTTTGAGTGTGATTTTCTTTTCAAAAATAATTGCATATAATAATACTTTATTTAGATTCACATTCATTCATTTCTTATTATATTAAAAAAGATTGGTAATAGATACTATCTCCGTCACACAAAACTTTTTCAGTTTTGACTTTTAAGAAATTTAAGAGGAGTGTATTTTTGTATTGACTTTTCGAAAATATCATTAGATGTGATGGGTAAAATTAGGATCTGATGGATATCTGATAGGTAGATTAAAAACTTGTATGTGTAAAAGTAACTTTTTAATAGAAATGGAAATTTTTTTTTTGGCGGATGAAAAAAGAAAAGAAAAACATCTTGTAGGACGGAAGGAGTACTAAATATGGAATGGAAGATAAAATAATTTACTCAAAATAAAAACAAAACTAACACCGGGAAAGATGTAGTCGCTAAGGCCAAGAGATGTAAATCACACCGTCCCTTCCTACCAACTTAAGGTCACATAAACTTTTCTATTTCTCATCACATTTCATCATATTCGAGTGGTGTGGATCATACAATTCCTTCCATGCATTTTTCTCCTTGTTAGCAGATATTTGTATACATGCCGTAGAATAGTATTTTGGGCCTAAATTGTTGGGGGCGGTTTGGGTGACATGAACCTCCCATGTGTCATAGGATGACATGAGCTCTGATTAGGGCATCTACGATGCTTCGTTTGAAAAATTGAGGGTCTCTTCCCCCTTAACCCTCGGTAAACCCCCCACCCCCAGCCCGGCCCGAACATACCCTCGCGCATCCCGTCAATTGCATGCCACAAAATTTAATTGACTCTGAAGGAGTGGTGGTGTGTTTGGAATAGGGCGAGGTGGGGGGTACCGTTAGTTTTACGAACGGGACATCATAGTGTTCTAGAGTCATCCCATGACATTAGGTTCTAATGTCATGGGAACCCCTCCGAAATAGTTTGATTATATGAGTAAAAACCAAATATAAGAAGCAAATAAGTTCAGATAGGGAGATACAGTAGATGGTGTCTGACATGTGGGCTGCTGAGACAGAGGCTGAACAAATATAATCCCCACGTCACTCCCAAAAAATTAGTACGAGAAGAAGTAAATGCTACTACCTGCTGCCTTCATACTCTGCTCCCTTTTTATTGGATTCCTTTTCTATACCAACTAATTGATTATTCAAATTTCATTAGAAACAATTCTAATTATAACTACCATCGGATTAGATCTTAATCTAATCTGGTCGAAACCACGTCAATGAACAAATAATCCTTTGTTTCGATAGGATGGGACTCTATATATAAATTGGTCGGAGAGTCACCTGAGAAGGAAGGTAGTTATTTATGGTACTTTTTTAATGCTAGTTATTCAGGGTTTGCTTGCTAGATGCAAGATCTGCATTTTTAAAGTAAATCTGTACTACGGAAAGATTATGCAACATGTAATGCTAGAAAACAAATCTTGAATATATAATAGAATTTTTAACAAATTAACTACTTCCCCCGTCACTAAATATTTGTTCTTTTTTTTTTTTACTTTTTTCGGACAAAATTAATAAACTTTGACTTAAATTAAATAAAAATGATATTAGATATTGATAAAAAACTGGTTTCATTAGTTTTATTGTATACAATATTTTCAAAATATTATTTTATCTAATTTATATATAATATACATTTTCAACTAGGACCTGGTTACTGAAAACTATAATCAAAATTAAACAAATATTCAGAGACAAAAGTAGTAAAAACTTGTAGCTAGGACCTGGTTACTGAAAAAATATAATCAATTACTAGAATTTTACAACTTGAAATCTTGAGATTTAAATAATGAAATTGAAATTCAAAATCATGAGATTCTAAATAATGAAAGAGAAATTTACTTAAATAGGACTAAAACATAATGACTTTCCGAATATAGGACCATATATTTTTATTTCCTAATGTAGGACTTTTGGTCATTATCAAGTAGTCATTATTCAAGTAAATGTCTAGCATTGCTGAACATTATTCCTCCCACTATGTCATTATTAAGTTCTATTTAGGGAATAAAAAAAAGTAAAGTCCTACATTATGAAAGTCATTATGTTTTAATCCTATTTAATGCAAATTTTACATAATGAAATTGAAATCTACAAAGGTTGGTTTATTTGTTGTGAGAGAGGGGATATGATGTGCAGTAGTGTCAAAGACGAAATGGAGGACCCTGCCCTAGGCCAAAAGGACTATAAAAATGAGTACGTGTCATTATTAAGATATGAATGGTCCATACAATTAAGAAGGAAGCCATGCACGCATGAATAAAACCCACCCCTACCCATCCCCTAAATGAGACTACCCCTTAGTACGGAGTAGAACACACCATCCCTAAAAAGGGGCAACTACCCCTACGCCCGGGCAACTACCACTAGTGCACAACATTATTCACACCTTTCTTTTCATACTCCTCCCCCCCTCTTCCCTAAAGTAAATTCTTGGTCGGTGAGCGTTGCGCATTTGGTAAGGCAAGGGGTGCCACGGAGGTAAGACCTGAGTTCGATTCCTAACAGTTGCGTTAGGAGGCAACTATTCTAAACATATGACCTCTGCAACTACCAGGTGCAGGCTCTACTCTTTGCCACCAATCTGTGATTAAAGTCCAATTTACCTCCTCTCAGTGATCGTCCGGTCGGGTCTGAGAGGGCCCTTGGGGATGAGGCTCATCCTTTTTTTTCCCAAAGTAAATTCTTGTATGGGTTAAGGCTTATGATTATGAGGCCATGAGGGTGTAAATCAAATAACTAGGCTTATGATTTTATACCAAATCTAAGACAATAAACTAAGTCCTTCAAAAAAAAGACTAAGTCGAAAGACTAACTAACCAGATAAAACACTCAAATCATGAAGAAAGCTTTTGATGAAAGCACTTGTAGCTTTATTATTATTATTATTATTTCTAAAAGAGACGTGGCATCACCGTCGCCGTTCCATCACCCACTTTCGTCGCTGCCCTCGTCTTCTGCTTCCCCTTCATCGTCTTCTCTTTGCTTCGTCATCTTCTGCATCTCTGTCGTTGTTCCATCACCCACACCCATCGCCTCTCTCATCACCTGCCTCAGCTCCACTGCCTACCTCCGCTACGTGCAGTGGCGGAGCCACATTAGTGCAACTGACTGCAATTGCAGTCACTCCACTTTGTGTAGTAGTGTATATATGCATACATATATAGCGTTGCAAGAGTTCGATGGATGAAGATGTATGTGTGGGTTTTGACTTTAAAATTGCTCTAGAGTCCGGTATTTCTATTCTTATTCGAACACTAACATCATGTTTGGTTCACAGAATTTGGAAGGAAAAAAGAAAAAAAAATAATTCTCTCTCATTTTCCTCGCCAAAATGGGATAAACATGATTTTCCCTTCTCTTCGTACATTTTGCCCTCTCGTTTTTCTTTTCATTTTATCCATTTTTCTTTTCTTTTCCTCTTTAGCCAAACAAGAAAAATTAATTTTTTGTTCGTTTTGCTTTTCTTTTTTTCCTTTCGTATTCCTTGAACCAAACATAGTGTAAAAGAAAGTTGATGTGCACTTCTCGAAAATAATGATGCAAATGATATTCAACATTTGTCAATCTTTCTTGCACCCAATGTGTTTGACAAAATACCAGTGAGACCAATTTATATTTTTACGTCTCCTGCAGCTACTATAAGGATGGACCCCACTGGCGTTGCGTCCTGGCTCCGCCACTCCACTGCCACCCACCCACGGACGGTCCGTCAAGAGTTGCTGCCACGGCCACACATGCGCCGCCCGCCACCACACCTCCTCTGCCTGCGCCGTAGTATAGCCCGCTGCCAACACATTCCACAAGTTTTTCCTCTACTGTTTATATATATTCTTCAATTTTACTTTAATTGTTATTTTGTGTTTGTCAATTTGTAGAGACTGTGATGTGTTCTTATTTTTTTGTACTCCTTCCGTTTCATACTTTGAGTTTTAAAAGAAATAAAAAGTGTATATTTGTGATTGACTTTCTAATTTTGATCTTGATGTAATGGGTAGATTATTAGTGAAAAAGTATGATGTAATAGGTATGATAGAAAAAAATAGGGGTAAAAGTGATTTTTTAATAGAAAATGGAAGTGTTTTTGAGAAAATAAAAAATGAAAGAGAAAGTGTTTTAAGAAATGGAGAGAGTATGTTATTGTTCTTTTGTTGTTGTCCTATTTATTTGTTGTTTTTGTATGTTGATTTTGTCGTATATAGCTGTTTCAAGCTCTTTGCGTTGTTTTAATTTGGATAAAATTATAAAGACTGACATGGCTAGCCGTTTAAAATTTATTATTAGGAGTAAATTTTAAATAGTGTCTAATTTGGAGGTTGTTCTTGAACCGCTTACCTCACTTAAGATGTAAGTGCAAACCTTCTTTTCTGTTCCAACACTTTTGGTCACAAGGATTTTCTCTATGCATTCTTCGGATGCATATGTAACTACTTTATATCATGCACTTGGAGACCTATAAGAAAATGTTGCAAAAATTTAAATGGACCGAAGAAAAAATACATTTACTAGTGAGAGTTAAGAATGAATTAGGTTGGAATGATAAAGACCCTAATTGATAGAATTTGGATTTTAATTTGTGGTCTAGTGGATAGGCCCATTTTGGATTGCATGATATATATTACGGAGTAGTTGTGTTGAATTCTATGTGAACGGTATACATATGTATGTAAATTGTATGTGATAATAGCCACACGTTTAGAAGGGGCTTAGGGCAGGATTACTAGGGTGGGGTAGGGGTAGACAGTTTAGAGGGTGGATTAGGGGGTAGGAGTCATCAACAAACAAAGCACTAGAGGTGTTTTAAAAACACAGTGACACTGCTAGTAGCATCGTTGACCAGTGCCAACGGGACCATGTCCTAATGTTTATTTCATTTAAATCTTTTTTAATGTACAAACTTATATTTTCTGATGAGTTTTTATTGAGGTTGTATTGTTATCTTACATTTTTTTCAAACTATATGGAGTACATATTATCTTCTTTTATTTTATTTATAATAATGTGGCATAAACCAAAAATTTAATTAAAAATGTAAAAGAAAATATGGTAATAGCTTTCAATGACATATTTCAATTGTTTCATTATATTTTCATACAAAAATACAAGTGCGAGAATGAATTTAAATATTCAAAAAATAAAATCCGTTGAGTCGATCCAAACACAATAACATAAGTTGATGAATGCATTTTTCTAACCCAATCTTGAAATTACATGAACTCCAATTTACCGAACTTTAACAAGACCTAACCAACCTATTTACCAGCTCTAGTCCTCGTGAGGTCACCAACTATCAAGGACTTATAGAAGCCTCTTGAGAAAGTACAAGAGTGATTTTTATCGGCACCCACCTATATATGGTGGACGAAACTTTTCTTTAGATTGGCTCAACAAAAATGTTGTGAGCACAAAACTGTCCTTTTCAAGGACAGTCGACCATTTGAAGTCTCAGGGCCTTGGGATGCATTTGGTTCAAGCAAATGAGCAATCTCCTTTTAAACCCATATTTTCGGTCTCCCAAACAAAAAAAAAAAAGCCAAACATCTGGTGTCATATTATGACACACCCATGATGTGTGTGAAAAGAACCTAGTTCCTTACAAACAGAAATGTCAATCCAAAAGTTTTTACAAGACAGCCCCCACCCATCCCAACCTCCAAAGAACAGATACTTGCCAATCACATTAAATGAGATATAACTAGCAGCAACTGTTTCCTAATTCTTGTTAGATTTAATCGGGTTTGTTCACATATTACCTATAACCGAATGGGTAATGGGTCAATATTTGAGTCGGTTAGTATGGTGTCATTTAGTGTGTTTTACATATTTAATTAATTTGAATAAAAAACAGTTGGGTAGTTTCTAAAAGGCAGCTATGGGTAGTTTCTAATGTTAATAGGTGTGTTGGTTAGTAAGAGTTGTGTTGGTTTGTTCTCTATTTATATTAGACAACACAATGAATCCTGTAATGGTACACATCAATAAAATATTCTACTTTGCTTTGATCTGGTCGTGTCTAACAATTCTTTCACCAACAAAAAAAACCATATTTTACACAGTCGAATTTCAAGTAGAGATTAAGATTGCACGATGCAAATTGGGAAAATCAAGTGAGCCGGGAACAAATTGCTAAGTGAGAAAAAAGTGAGTACCGACATTTGTTTTCATCACACCGATAGCATTACATCTCCACTCATGACTCTTGGGGCACAGAAGCTTGTCTGAGTCTACGTTGGTGTACGTCCCAGTTGTATATCCGAGCAGTCATGACCTGAGCAAAGCAACATCATGAGCGCATAAACGAAATGTGTGATTAGTTAATGACCAAAGATACACTATATTCTAGCCAAAAAGACAAACGGGGACGTACTAACATGACCACAGTGTGAACAAGTTTAAGGTCTAGAGGAGTGTAGAAAGAAGAACTACCTGAGAAATTGTCACTTGGTCCCTCAAAAATTGGAGGTCCCCTACAAGAACCTCCAAGCTAGCTTTTGCATTCTCCAAGTTCTTCTGAAGAAGAGAAGTAGCCTGCACCAATAAATCTCACAATCAATTAAGGGCCAGTTTTGCATTGTTTTTATTGCATCAAAATGTCAAGTTGAGATGTGAAAAAAAAAACTATTTGGTGAGTTTATGATATAAAGGGAGGTACTGTTGGTAAATTCAATAATTCATTATATAAGTTGATCTATTGCTGTTTGGATACAACCTATGGAAGCTGTGACTTTAAAGATGTATATAGTTTTGGCGTTTACGCCACAACAGCATTTTGTTTATCTGGTTCTTTTACAAGCTTTTGAGAAAGTATATATCATGGCTGAAAAGACACAATGATACGTAATTGGCTGTTAGACGTTTACACCTTCCTTTGGTGTGTGACGCAGGCAGTCTGATAAGAATTACTAGTAGGTACCTCATCAAAAGAATACTCCAGCATGACATTTGCTCCTAACCACAAACATACAGAATCTGTATCTTCAATGCGAGCCCGAGAATAAATGCCCTCTGACACTTCAAAATCTGCAATTAGAGCCTGCACCGAATATACAACAAATGAATTCATTCTTAATCCATACGAGCCTAGGCGGAGATCTGTTATGCCAAGAAAATTCAGATTTGTTGATATATGTTTTCCATTCCTTCCAAATTTCAAAACTTATTCTATTTCAACACGGCCTTACTCATCAAACAGGCCCTCAGTTTATCAACCATCTCAACACTTTTGCCTCATGAATCGCGATATTTTCCATGAAAAAAGAAGCATGCCACCCACGTCAATGCAGTTGTGGTAACGGAAATGATCATTATTATTAAGGTAGAATTGATTAGATTTTTTTCTTGTTTGAAAGGTAGAATGAATTAGATTATACTCTGTATACTTTATGTTATGTACTCCCTCAGTCCCTAAATAAATTTCACTTTTACTATTTATTTGTCAAAATTCTTCTTTTCTTATTTATTTTAATCATTTCTTACAATAAAATAGTCATGCCACTTCATGTTCTATAGAACTTATTATGTAAATTTTAAATACTCCATCCAAAAATTATTTCAGTTTGACTGGGCAAGCTAATTAGTGAAATGAAATTGTGTGGCTGTGGTTTATTTAAAGATGATATAATAATGTCAACCACACAAATCCTTCCTTAAAAGGAAATGGAAAGAAAAAATTTAGGGCACCCAAAAAGGAAAGAAAAGAAAATCTTAGAATGGATATGGTATATAAATTCTATTATATAATTTTACACAATTATTTAAAATTCAGTCAAACATCGTAAACCAACAATTGAAATTTATTTATGAACAAATGGAGTATAATCTTAAATGAATGTCACATGCTAAGAAAGGACATAAAAACTAGGATTTTTTAGACCCCAAGCTCCTTAAGGTAGAGCTTTGTCGAGACCCAAAACTCCAAAAGTCTAGTTTGAATCATTTCAAAGTAAGACCCTCCTTAGATACACAGGTGGACCAACGTGGAGTCCCATGGGCTCTTGGGACCCCACAGACCTCCATGTAGGATTGTACTAGGTAGACATATTGTTTAGTCCATATATTTTACTATTGTTGAAACTACCAACATAATGCACAACAGTGCCGCGGAACAATGGAACATTCAGGCGTGGGTGCTACTTTTTGCTTTTGGATTCACAGTTTCAAACCCCTTGCAGTCAATATTTTTTTATAATTCATTACAAGGACTTGAAACCCTATCACTGGAACGGTGCCCTCATTTCAAAATTGATTACAAGAATATTTTAAACCAAACCGTTTAAGTTGCTTTTGACTAATTAATTTTAATAGTACTCCTATATCTTCAGATTCTTCACGGGATGGAGAGAGAGTAATATTTATTTCAACTCGCTTTAACTTTTTGAGTTTCTTCCAACTCCTTCATGCTTCTTCCTAACTAATTTAAGCATCCAACTTAGGTTATCCATCCCAAAAGGACGTAGTTATAGAATTATATTGACTGTGATTCATATTTATACTTTCTATTTTTTGTGTCATGTGGCGACACCATAAATGCACCATCGTCATGGCAAGCTGGACCATCCACATTACTTTAACCAAACACCACGACAATTATGGTTGTGAAGTGTAAAGATGTGGTCTAACCGTTGGACTAATCTTAAGGCATAAAAGATTAATATCTAAATACATGCATAGAATTAGAATGAACCTCTCTGGCGGCTTTCTTAGCTTGCAAAGCGGCAACAATATCTAAGCATTTCTCAATGTCGGGAATCTTTGCCTGTTAAGTGTACACAAGCATCAATCCATCAGATATTTTTTAATAACTTTGACCAGAAAATTGTAAGGAACGGAAAAGCACAAAATAATTACTTATAAATTTGGACCAGACACTTGAAAGGAGCAGAAGAGCATAGTTTTTCTTATAATAGTTCTAGCTACGGTTCAATACTATATCTGTTACATAGACCCTTTTAAGTCTTTTAACAGAAACTCAAACCTGCGTTCTATCCCTACCGCTAGAATAAATTATACCGGTGCATCAGACATTTTTTCAGAATAGAAATTGTCAACTTTGATATAAACATTATGCAATGAGTGAAAAAAATTGAAAAATATATTTTAATTTACAATGTTTCAAATGATTGCCTTGACTACCCATATGGTTATATTACATGATCAATTACTTGGTATACTTTAGGCTCTATTCTTTAGGGTTGGATAGAGAGGGATGTTGGAAAGAGTTGGAAGAAACTGAAATGGGTTGGAAGAAACTAATAGGAGTTGGAAAAAATTAAAAGAAGTTTAAAAAACTGAAAAAAGTTTGGAAAAAAAATTGGAAGAAACCTAAAAAGTTGAGAAGAGTTGGAAAAACTGAAATAAATAATCCTCCATCCCAAAATAAAGGTGACAGATTAACTCTTGATGTCAAACTTCATCAAGTTTGACCGCTAATTATTCATGTTGTCATTATATTTTACCATACAGGTATATGAAAATTTAATGTTTGAAACTTTATGTGTAAACACATTTATCAAGTGTAACTTCATATTATAAAACGTTATGATGTAAGAATAATAAACAGTCAGATTCGATGAAGTTTGACTACAAAAGTCAAACTGTTACCTTTAATTTAAGGCAAGAGTATTAATTTTTTAAATACATATTTTTATTAAAATAACTTATAATCTCTTTGTTTCACTATTTAAAGTCAAATTGTTACCTTTAATTTAAGGAAAGAGTATTAATTTTTTTAAATACATATTTTTATTAAAATAATTTAGAATCTCTTTGTTTCACTATTTAAAGTCAAACTGTTACCTTTGTGTCATTAGCCGATCCCACCTAGCGGGATAAGGCTTGGTTAATGTTGTTTCAATTGCTTTATTATTTATTGACTAAGAATAATAGTACTAATAATAATAAAATGAAAAATGTATCCAAATAATTTTTGACTAATAGTTGCAAGGAATAGAAGAAATTAGAAGCAACTAAAAGAAATTGAAAGGAGTTGGAAGATACGGAAAGAAGGTGAGATTTAGCACTCCAATCTAAAAAAAATAGAGCCTGTTTAACCATAAAATTCTTGATTCATATGAAATTACTAGTGATGTACAACTTAACTAGCAGAACAAAAACAAAAACAGTAACAGGTAATTCACAACATAAGACAACCTAAGATAGCTTCGCATTGAAAAATAATAATCACTAAAATGCACCTGAAGATCTCTCTGCTGAGCCAGAAGTTTCATTTCAACCACTCTGTATTGCTGAAGTCTGCAAACAAGATTACAATATATCACAAATAAAGAATAAATGAATTAAACTGTATAACAAGGTTTTAAACAAGTACCTCAATAAAACAGGGCAAAATGAAGAAATGTAAGAACTACGAAGGGAGAATTATGTGCAGACCATATTTATTTATTAAACTCCTTAAAAATAGATAGCTCCACTTAGTTTATATTATGTGGGGCTTATTGTCATAATCCATATATCATATCAGCTGCCTATTTTGAAAGTCAGAAATAAATAGCAGTACAGGAAAAAAAAATCTTTAGAAAGATCTTGATCATGGCATTCTGAAGGGCATACAAACAAGTTATAATCGGAGTACTACATATTCATGTCCATTGACGCAATGATGTTAATTTAAGAAAGTGGGGGCTCAATGTGCTTGAGAGATCAATCAAACACATTTTTGAACTATTCTCATTAAAAATGAATGTTGGCTATAAATAAAATGAATGTTTGAATGAGTAACACAAGGGTTATCAAATCAAGATGCACTCCAGATCAAATTAAAGAGTATAGATAAACTTATCGTGTCAAAATTTTGACAAGAACAGACAAATACTACGGACTAGATGCTTAAAATAATACAAAAAATCAAGCAAAAAAAAAGAAAGAAACTGAAATAAAAAAAAAGTGAATAAGTCAAATACAGTTGTAACTAATAACCATTAAAAATACATAAGAAACTAAGTGCAGATAACGGAAAAACGAACCAATCCCTGTCACAGGGTGTTTAGAATGTGAGCAGGTATATTATACATCCCGATGTACTTTGACTCTTTGAGCATCCAATATCTAAAAATGAGTATCCTTTTAAAGTAAAATGAGATTTTCCCACAACAAAATGTGCATTCTCCATGAGAAAGCACAAACACCAGGATTAAATGAAATTAGCATTATTCATAGCACTAGTGAGCATGTTGTCCCAAAAATTAAAAAAAAAACCATGTGTGTAATATAATTAGCTGTTTTGAACCCAATAGAATTCCTTCAGGCTCCGTTTGGTACACGGAATTCAAACTAAAGAATTTGAATTGCGGACAACAATTCCAATATTTCTGTTTGGTAGCACAAATATATATGGACTTTGAATTGGTAATGCCAAAAAATGAATGGGAACTGGAGAATTGAATTCCGTCCAAATCAATTCCATAGATTCCATAGAATTTCAACTCCCAATTCAATTTCTATTCCATCAATTCCATGTACCAAGCGGACCCTCAAGATTTGGAATTCAATCTTTTGATTGGGAAAACTAATTGAACCAGGAATTAAACTCTCGGAAGAATGAAACACTGATTAATCCAGGAATAAATGAATAGATACCAAGCAACTAACTAGATGAAAGACTAGTATATTTAAATCAACTGGAGAATTGAAAGAGAAGGTAACACTAAAATCCATAGATTTGATTGGAATGGATAAACATACCAAACAACACATTCCCCTGCTTAATCAAGCACGAAAACTAACAATTATAAAAGAGAGAGAAACCTTTCTTGGAGGAAGGCTAGAGCGGAGTTGACCTCAAGACCGGAATCTGCCAGATACGCCCGAACATCTTCCACAAATACCGCCGCCGGAATTCCTCTCCTCTCCATCAATCCGAATGAAGACGACGAAGATTCACCATCCGCCGCCATCAAAAGGCTAAGGTCCGGTGGCGATAATGGTTGATGCCTCAACGCTCAGCTTCGGCAGCAGTAGTTGCAGTGAGGAAGAAGACTGGAACGTGAAGAGGAAGAAGAAAGGTAATGGGACAGAACTACGTCGTTTTGTAATTTAGCCCGCTACAAGCTACTTGACGCGGCCCAAGTTTGTGGGCTTGTTACTCCGATATTGCTGTTTTGAACTCAAGAGTCCAAATAAAAAATGTTCGGACTAAATGGCCCGTTCATGATGATGTTGGCCTGCAAACGTGTGATATTTGTATTAGACTAAGGGGCTGTTTGTTTCAGCCTCTTAATGGTTCAGATGTCTGAATGGTTACTTAATAGTTCAGACTGTTTGTTTCAGCCTCTTAATGGTTTAGATGTCTGAATGGTTAAGAGGTTTGCCTCTGAATGGTTAAGTATTATACAGAGTCTGAATGGTTAAGACTTCTTATCTGAATTGATCAGACATTTGCCTCTGAATAGTTAAGCAATATACTAGCTCTTAATGGTTCAGACCTCTTACTGGTTCAGCACTTAATGGTTCAGACCTCTTACTGGTTCAGCACTTACCCATTCAGAAGTTGCCAAACAGCCCCTAATACAGTCTGCAAACAACACGGTCAGATTGGGTCCATGTTACATACGGAGTACCATTAGGTGGGCACGATTTTTTTTCTTTCTTATTTTTGGCATCAAATCAAATTTCTTGGAATATCATATTATGACATTCCTGAACTTCTCTCGTGATTTGAGTGGTAGGAAGTCTACTTTCCAGGATTTATGGAAAGTTCATCCAAGTTTGAATCCTAGCAGAGGCGGAAACATTAACTCTTTGTGTGTCATTAAGTTGAGAATAGTATGAACAGATACTAACTAGTAATAGAGTCAATCGCATTCAAAAAAATATTTTGACATTCCTCAATTTGAGATATTTACCGTACTCTTTTTAGTATGGAAGTGATTTTTACTTTTTAACCTCCCTCTGAACTCCACCTCACTCCCCACGTGTTAGTTATTTGTTGTTATTGCTTAATAGTCTTTGTTGAGTTTTATAACCCCGGATTACTTTTTGACAAATGAATAGTTATTATCAATAATAATTGTTAGTCGATTTGATTTAAATAAAGTTGTAGCATCTTATTTATCAAGATATTGCTACCAATAGTCTATTTGGTAATAGTCTTTGTTGAGTTTTATCAATCTTATCTTATCTATTTGATTTAAACGAATAGTTATTATCAATAATAACTGTTAGTCGATTCGATTTGATTTAATAGTCTTTGTTGAGTTTTATAACCCCGAATTACTTTTTGACAAACGAATAGTTATTATCAATAATAACTGTTAGTCGATTTGATTTAAATAAAGTTGTAGCATCTTATCTATTAAGATAAAGTTGTAGCATCTTCTTAATGTTTTATGCGCGAGACCTCTAAGAGGTGGAGTTGTGCAAACCGCAGGCCTATTTCGTTGGAGTGATAAGTGTCAAGTGACTTGTTGTGCAAGAAAGTTCTTGTATGAACTCTACAATAGTTGTTTTATTTTCTATATAAGCTACGCCAAGCCTCATGGTTAGATACGCCGAATACACGCAAAATATTTGGACGCTTCAGGTTTTATAATAGTTCATCTTATACGCACAAAGAAAGATTATTGAATTTTAACGTACTAAGTAGAACACAACTTGATGAGAACTAGCTTTTATTATATTAGGAAAATATAACTCAAAGCCTAATACAACAACTCTCATATAAATCTCATTTGGCTCTCATATCAAAAACTAAAGCTTGGCTATGATATATATAGTGTTAACCCAACTTGGTCAACAAGTAAGCTAATTAATCATAGGAACCATAATTTTATTCCTAGTCGAACTAGAATATCTCGAGAATCCCAATCCTACTCGACAATTAGCCAACAGAGATCACGTCGTAATCTCATATATCTGTGTGATGTTCGAAGCTTGATTTCACATAGAAACTTGGGAGCTGCCTAACGAACTCATTCATAATTTGTGTTGTGTTCATGTTTGTCAACTTGTTTAGTCGTTGAGTACATTCTTCATATTGAAGATGGGCTACAAGCACGTCCTTTAAGTAAAACTTCAAGAAGTGTAACATGTCAAGGAGAATGATCTAAACAGCATTTGGAGTCAAAATTTGATAGAATTTTTGGATGGAATAAGGGTTACTGAAATGGGTCATAAGACACTTTGGTTGAACCATATTAAAAGATTATATCTAATTGATACTTAGTTCAACTCAAGAGCTTATATACCGATTATTTTCTTCTCACTTATTTGATGTGAGATACACTCTAACAAGTCATTCGTAAGTAGATTTGTCAACACATTAGAAGATGTTATATTGTGATTAACTGAAATCTAATCTTTTATGATGATTTAGTGAAAGCTATTACATGGACGTAGGCCTTGCAAATGTATGAGAATTTGCTCCAAACTATGTAAATAATTTTTTATGTCGTTTACTACTTTATATTACATATGTGGGTTATTGTGACGGAGAAGATGATATAGCGCACCATCTATCATTAGTGTCTTTAATCAGTGTTATAGCCTTTTTACATTTTTAATGCACATCTTCTAAAATTAAATTAAATAAAACTTTTTTTAGTTAAATTTAAATGACAATAATTAATTAAATTAAAAATTTGCATTCAATAAAAAAATATTTGAAAAATTACGTTAATAAAAAACTAAGGCAAATTATAGTTTGCCTTGATCTCTTTTTGTCTTCTCTCGTAAAGCATGCATTTGAAACCCAATAACGTATCAAGATCAATTTTCATTATTTCGATCTCTTCCTTCTGTTGCCTACGTTTCCTCTCTTCTTCCCTAATATTGAACACCTGCAGTTGTTCAATCATTGCCCAGCGGATTTCATCGTGAGAGGAAACAGAGTCGGGCCCTCCAGAACCTGGGACAATAAATTTTGCCTTCTTCCTTCCCATCGGCCTTGGAACGGGGTCCTCATCGTGAGAGTCGTCGAGGTTGAAGGGGGGCCTTTGTTCTGAAGATCTAATAGTCTCATAAGCCTCAACCTCGGCGGAGGATCTTTTCTTTGACGATCCGACCTCGGGGTTGTTGAGTTGTTGCCACTTCGGTGAATGACTTAAATTTCTCCATAGATCGGCACAGACCTTGTCTTGGTGTCAGTCGTCTTGATAGCGGATGGTGGCTTGCCGCAGAACATCGGCATCGTTCGTCCCGCTCTTCTAGGACTGAGGCGTCATTATTCATTGTCGCAAAGAAATTATCCTGGATACGATCCTATATCGCATCCTTCGTTTGCTCGGAACCTTTGTGAAATATATAATTGAAGGAAAAAAAATAATACAAAATATAAAAAAATAACATGTATACAATATATATTCAAAACTAAAAAAAGTTTACAAATGATAGGATGCTCGGAGACGTCAACCCAAGCGGAGGCCAACAACGATTCTTCATCCGGGGTCCACTTTTGAATGGACCGTGCAACCTCGGTCATCAGCTTGTCGCTCTTTGGTTTGTGAGTCTTTCGACATGCACTTGGTTCCGGTTGAGTCTCCAAAACCAACTCCGGGTCTTGGAGATTCGCCAAGGTTTGCATATCATACATCGACGGATTACCGGCGTATGATTGGAAAATTCACATCGCTTCCTCGCTTGGCTCGAGACCGGACGAAGGAACGATAAAACCGAAGGAGTTCATGTTAACAAAGAAGAAAAAATTAAAGAATATTTTTATTTGAAGAAGAGAGACAGAGAGATAGAGAGATGTGTGTTTGATTTTTAAAAAAGATTGAATGTATAGATTTTTTTTTGTTTAACGGCTAAAAGAGCCGTTGGGAGGGGGTCCACGCACTTCCGTGCATTAAACCTTTGACCACTCCAGCTGACGTCCAGATAAACATTAGGGGGACAATGTTTAACGTAGCCCCAGCGTTAAACTCCGGATGAAGCCCCCTCGGCGATAAGAGTATTTCCAGTGCTTTAACATGTGTATTTTATATATTTTTGAAACATCCTAGGGGTAAATTCATTAAAATTATATTTTTTGTGGGTTGAAAAACCAAATTAGATGTTTGAAAAAGTTTAAGAACTAGAAAGATTTTAAAAAAATTAGAAAGAATCCTAAGAATGTGATTGTTTCTAGAATGGTCTTTTATTTTGCTTTTTTCATTTGCCCCACACCCCAACCCTTATTTAAATACGGAGTATATAAGAAAATGGTGAATTGGTTTCTTAATTATTTATATTAATTTAATTTTTTATATATCCTATCAAAAACTAAAATAGTCGATTAAGTGTAAATGTAAAGAGGATAGAGATTTTCTTTTAAGACGACCGGGTTCTAAGGTCACCCTCTTTGAGCGGGTAGTGGGCATAAAAGATATCGTGATTACCGTCACTATTGGGTTACTTACAATGTTTCATTCGTAGAATTGATTGTTCTTACACCCTTTACCTCCCCCCTCCCCTTCTACCCCCACTCAGTCTCAACCCCAATTCATTCCCACTCACATGAGTGGTAAGTGTAAGTGTCTTGACTTTAAGATAAGTCAATTTTTTTATTCTAAATTTAACTAAACTTGCATCATGCAATTGATGTAGGTGGAGGACTGGTTAGGGCTGGAAAAGGGTGGGAGTTTCACAAGATACTTAGGCATAGGAAACATCAATTTTACGAACGGAATACCGTAAATGTTTTAATTGAAACGATGTCTTCTGTGACTACTCAAAAAGAGTGATCATAGAATGTCTTTATAAACTATAGAGGATCAAAATATTAGGTGCAACATAGCAATTTTATTAAAATAATAGCACGACACTCTATCTCGTGATTGTTAGTGCTAGCTAATGATTCAATTAATTTGAGTATAAAATATGAACAAAATATCATGTCATTATCACCTAGATACATATATGTGCAGATGAGCAGTGTGTCTTAATAATGCATGCCCTCTATATTGGAATACCTTTTTAAAGTGTGGCGACTTTTTTAAATATTTCATGTCTCTAAAATAATTTATATTTTTACTATTGAAATCTCTCAATAATTTTTATTTAGTCATTTACTTGTATTGGTCACTTAATAAAATAAAATATTTTTCTTGCATCTTATTTTATACTCCCTCTGTCTCTTAAAATCATTCCCTTATTGACTTTTTTGTGAAGTTAAGGGAAGGATATTTTGGTGTTAACGTTCCAAAAATACCCTTGATGTGATGAGTAAAAAGTAAGATGCGATGGATATATTATTAGTAAAAAAAGTATAATGTGATAGGTAGGACATGAAAAAGTAAGGAGTCTAAAGAAAGGGGAAGGAGTTTAAGGGATGGGGGGAGTAGAACTTTTGATATAATCTTCATTTTTAAAGTCCTTAAAATATTATTTTACTTTTAAAAGATAAAAAAGTTAGAGTTTTTAATTAGAGATAAAGTAAGTATATGTTATCTAATTTTTTATTTTATTTATTTTACTTTTACTTATAATGAAAAAGTGTATTTTATTTCACTTTTTAATGTTTCATTTCTTTTATAACATTTTCTAAAAAAAATGCAATAAATGAAAAGATTTAATTTGAGAAAGATGGCGTATATTTTATTTTATTTATTTGTATAACAAAAAATGCAAATAAAAGAGTGAAAATTGAAGATAGAGAAAACTAAAGGGCAGAAATGTCATTTTATGTCTAAAAATAGGCAAGAGAAGGCGTTTGTGCACTATTTAAAAACCACAAAGATTTTATAAATAACTTTTCAAAGTAGAAAGAGTTTTGGCGCCCTTTTATAAACCACGGGGACACCCATGCTATTTCCCCTTTGTTTTCGAGATCTTTTTTAGTGTTATGGCCTCAATTACAATTGAGTATTTGAGTATATTTTTCTTAGTATAATGATATAAAATGAACTAATGCTTTTGTCTCTATTGATGCTCAAATCTGAGCAGGGTCAGTCTCGAAAATTCTATTGCCCGTCACGAGATCAGAAAAAGGACCCTGAGCCTCGATCAATTAAATTATAATTAGAAATATTTTCATTATTTTTATTGATGACAATAAGTCCTTTGGTGTAAATATTCATATTTATTTTAGATAAAAAATAAATAATTTTTATTTATATATTTTTTGAACTATTTTTAAAAGTTTATAAACAAGTATATTATATACTTGTGTTTTCTTTTTCTAAAAAATTAGGAGTTTTATTGAAATCAATACAGAAATATATAACATTATGCGTGGATTTGGAAACAATGGGATTAGTAGTTCAAGTAGATGACTTGCGTGCTAGAATCCGAAGTGTTCCGATTCAATCCCTACCTTCAACATTTCATTTTTTTACCTAAAATAGGAGAAATAAGATTTAGGCTACTCCTTTAATATAAAACTTGAGAGTTTGACTCCTAGGAATTTGACATGTGGCAATTTGGGTGTCATATTTTAATGACACGTAGGCAAGTCAGACACGCGTTCACTGACTTCACTCTTGAGACAAAATCGCAAATTCCTTCCCATGTCTCTACTCTTCCCTGCGCGATTTTGGTCTTCTTCATCGCCAAAAAATCTTCTTCGCCCAAATATGGCAAATTCAAGAAATACAAGGAATCGTTCCCGGATTCTTCGCCTTAATTCTGAAATCCACTCCAGACTATCCTTCTTCGCTGGTGGCGAAATTTCTTCTCCATGTGAAAGATCTCAAAATTTCCAATTTTGATCCTATCTACTGTAAGTTCCCTTCTTCTATGTTGGAAATTTTAAAGTAAATTGGACTGTTTCGGACATAAATTTGGTTGGGTCCACAAAATTATTTTCAAAATAATTATGGACGATTAATCTCGTAAGTAAGACGAACGTCTTGATATATGACACGTCATAAACGGTGCTCGGGCGAATGAGAAATTAATTCTCAAAGTTGAATGCTAAGGTAGAGTAAATGCCTTTGTCCCACACCGGTTTCTAAACCTTTCGTATTCTCATATTTAAGCTTAGGCTTTGAATTGAGCTTATGAAAGGAACAAGAAGAGGACTCCTCGCGCGCCCGCCGCGGCCGCCGTCCGGCTCGACACGACACGCGCGCGGCGCGTCTGCGGCGTGGCTTAATTTTTACGAGACCGAATCAAATGCGCGTGTACACTTCGTTAATAACGAAGTGTACGGAATTAAAGCATGCATGCATAATGGTGAAGAGTCACCGACTCTTCGTAATGTACGACGGTCCAGTGAAGGGTCCTAATCCTCTCCTACATAAGGAGGGCTTGGCCGCAGGAGCAAAAATACTCAAAAATCTCTCTCTGCGTTATATAAACTTTCCGACGATCTCCCATTTCCGATCACCTTCTCCGGCGATAACTCCCCGTCATTCTCGTTCGTCGGTGCACGGTGCTACCGCCCTAGGCCTTGCACGAAGCGGTTTTATCCTGGGAGGAGATTGCTCACGTTTGCCTGTGCGGGAGGCGGGCAATACTACCTTAAGGAAAGCTCCGGCGACTCCGCTTTCCTTACCCTTCTTTCACAAACTCCTCCAGCGTTCTTCCTCTCTTCATCCGACGTCTCTGTTAGCCGTTCAAGCGCCCGTCCGTTCGTGTTCCTGCATCCGTTCGAGCATCCGAAGACTCCAAGTTTATTTTCTTTTATTTTTGTTGTAAAATCCGAACGTTTTTATAAGTTCGGATTATTTTATTTTTTATTTCCCCGCTGTAATATTCAATAATCTTAAGGTAGTAATATGGAGTTCGGATTCGGCATCGAGGGTTCCTCCGGCAACGGGATGAGTTCCGAAATCCCGGTGGAAACCTCTTCGGTTGCCATGGTAGTGTCGTCCTCACCGCTGCCCTTCGGGTCAAGTGTGGGGGCCACAACCATGACGTCTTTCTCGATGCCAAGCTCAATCTTCGGGTCGGCCCCTCGACCCATTCCTGGGCTCGAAACCACGGGGGATTACCCCGTCGGTAATTCGAACCCCTTTCTCGGACCGACTATGGCTTCGGCCTTGACGGTCATCCTTGGACCGAACGCGGGTTTTCCCACACCGGTCAACTTAGGACCGAACGCGGGTTTCCCCACATTGGTCAATCCATTCGTTGGACCTCATTGGGCGACCAACGGGCCTTTTCTCCACACGCCCAATGCAGTTGGGCCGATATCGGTGCCCGCTAGATCGGTTCAAAGGCCACCGAAGTTCAATGGGACGAACTTCAAAATGTGGCAACAAAAGATGATGTTCTTCATGACCGTCTTGGGATTTGCTGAGTACCTGCAGCAAGATCCCCCTCAGCCCAATGAAACCAACAACCCCCTCGTGGCGATGGTGAACCAAGCATGGTACCATAACAACTATCTCGCCATCAACATTATCCTTGAGGGGTTGGGAGATTCATTGTACCCCGTCTACGCCGGTGCAAAGCTTGCCAAGGAGCTTTGGAATAGCTTGAACAAAAAGTATCAAGCTGAAGATGCCGGAACAAAGAAGTTCATCGTCGGAAAGATGCTGGACTACAAGATGGTCGACAGCAAATCTGTTGTCGCCCAGGCTGAGGAGCTTACGGTAATCTTCAACAAGTGCAATGAAGAGAAAGTAGGCGTCAGCGAAGCCTTCCAAGTGGCAGCCATCATCCACAAGCTTCCCCGGTCGTGGGAAGACTTCCAAGCCGACCTCAAGCTCAAGAAAACGGAGCTAAACCTGGAGCAACTGCTCACACGACTGAGAATCAGAGAGGAGGGGCTTGCTAGAAGAAGTGGAGGGGCAAAGGCGAATGTTGTAGAACATCCGTCGGGCTCTACACGTGGCGGGAAGGACAAAAAGAAAATGGGTCCTAAGGGTGGTGTTTCAAAATTTGCAGGGAAATGCTACAACTGTGGCATTACCAGGCATCGTTCCTCTGATTGTAGGAAAAAGAAGCCACAAAAGGGAAAGAAGAAACCCACTGAAGCCATGTGTGCGGAGCTTGACAACTTGGACCTCTGCGCGGTCGTTACCGAGGTGAATCTTGTCGGGTCAAACCTGAGGGAATGGTTTGTGGACACAGGGGCCACACGCCATATTTGCTCAAACAGGAGCATGTTTCACGACTTCCATGAGACCTCCGGTGACAAGGTCTGGATGGGCAACTCGGCCTAGTCAGAGGTTCAAGGGGTGGGAAAGATTAAGCTCAAAATGACCTCAGGCAAAGAGTTAACGCTTAACGACGTGCTCTATGTGCTTGAAATTCGCAAGAATTTGGTGTCAGGGTCATTGCTGATCAAACACGGCTTTCGGATGGTGTTTGAATCAGACAAGCTAATTTTGTCCAAGAAAGGGATTTTTATTGGTAAGGGTTACATTTCTGATGGGCTTGTTAAGCTTAATGTAATGACTGTTCATGAAAAGATCAATAAAAATCCTGTTGCTTATGTGTGTGAGTCTTCTAGTTTATGGCATGGTAGACTAGGACATGTTAATTATGCATCTCTTCGAAAATTAATTAACATGGAACACATTCCTAAGTTTAGCATTGACTTAACTCACAAGTGTGAAACTTGTGTTGAGGCTAAGTCAACTCGAAGTTCGTTTCAAACGATCGAACGGAACACTCAACCTCTAGAGTTGGTTCACACCGACTTGTGTGATTTTCGAACAACGCCTTCAAGAGGGGGTAATAAGTACTTTATTACCTTCGTCGATGATAGCACGAAATATTGCTATATCTATTTACTAAAAAGTAAAGGTGAAGCGTTAGACACTTTTATTCGATATAAGAATGAAGTGGAAAATCAACTCAATCGCAAAATCAAAGCATTGAGAAGCGATAGAGGTGTTGAGTATGATGCTCCACTTAATGAGTTTTGTGCACAGCATGGAATAGTGCATCAAGTAACCCCACCGTATACACCACAGTCTAACGGTGTAGCGGAGCGGAAAAATCGCACTCTAAAAGACATGATGAATGCGATGCTACTTAGCTCTGGGTTACCCCAGAACATGTGGGGGAGGCTGTTTTATCAAGTAATTATTTACTAAATAAAATACCTCGTAAGAAACTTGACAAAACTCTGTATGAACTTTGGCATAATAGGAAACCTTCCTATAAGTATCTCAAAGTGTGGGGGTGTATCGCGAAAGTACTTGCACCACCACCAAAGAAGATGAAGATCGGTCCAAAAACAGTTGATGGAATCTTCATCGGGTACAATAGTACGTCGTACCGGTTCTTGGTGTAAAAATCAGATAATCCTGAAATTCACAAGAACACAATCATTGAGTCACGGAATGCAACATTTTTCGAGCACATTTTTCCGTGCAAGTCAAGTGACGAAGCCAGTTCATCCAAACGTTCTCATACTGAGATGATGGATAATGATGATCCAAATCTATTGAATTCCGATGACGATGATGAAGTCGAACATGAGACTGAACTGAGACGAAGTAAAAGAATGCGAACTGAAAAGACATTCGGTTCTGACTTCATAACATATCTGATAGAATTTGACAAAGGAACTTTGTCATTTCTAATGGAAAATGAACCCGATATTCTAACCTGTTTGGTAGAAAAGGAACCACGAACCTATCACGAGGCAGTAACCTCAACTGAGGGACCTCAGTGGCGAGAAGCCATAAAAAGTGAAGTTGATTCTATTCTTCAGAATCACACGTGGGAATTGGTTGATCTCCCTCCAGGGTGTAAACCATTAGGTTCTAAATGGGTCTTTCGGAGGAAAATGAAGCCTGACGGCTCCATTGACAAGTACAAAGCTAGACTTGTGATCAAGGGGTATAGCCAACGCGAGGGCCATGACTACTTTGATACTTACGCGCCTGTGACTAGGATAGATTCTATCAGAATGATCATCGCATTTGCATCCTTACGAAACCTGGATGTTTACCAAATGGATGTAAAGACTGCTTTTCTAAATGGCGAACTAGATGAAGAAATCTATATGGAACAACCCGAGGGATTTAAGGTTCCGGGCCAAGAAAAGAAGGTCTGTAAACTTGTGAAATCATTATATGGTCTTAAACAAGCGCCAAAAGTATGGCATGATAAATTTGAGGAGGTAATGATGTACAACGGTTTTAGGATAAATGAGTCAGATAAGTGCGTATACTTTAAAGACACATCTGAAGGGTATGTCATTTTATGTCTGTACGTAGACAACATACTCATCGTTGGAAGCAACGATAGGATGGTCAAGTCCACCAAGGACATGTTGAATGCACGATTCGATATGAAAGATTTGGGTCTGGCTGATGTGATTCTTGGAATCAAAATACTAAGAAGACCGGATGGTCTGTGCTTGAGCCAATCCCACTACATTGACAAGATCCTTGAGAAATTCAACAAGGATGATACAAAGATAGCTAAGACGTCGATAGACGTAAATGTTCACCTTGGTAAACACCGAGGGAGTAGCGATTCTCAGACAGAATACGCTAGAGTCATCGGAAGTCTGATGTATCTAATGAGCTGTACACGGCCAGATTTAGCTTGCGCCATTAGCAAACTAAGTAGGTATACTAGCAATCCGAGTGTTGAGCACTGGAAGGCCATAGTCCGAGTAATGAGATACCTTCGTTATACTCGAGACTATAGCCTATGCTATGGCAGGTATCCACCCGTGTTGGAAGGATACACTGATGCCAATTGGATTGCGGATAATAAGGATTCAAAATCCAGAAGCGGATTTATCTTTATGCTAGCCGGTGCAGATGTTTCTTGGAAATCCTCAAAACAAACGTTAATTGCCAGATCCACCATGGAATCTGAGTTCATAGCACTAGACAAGTGTGCAGAACATGCCGAGTGGCTTCGGAATCTACTTGAGGATATTCCAAACTGGGAAAAACCAGTTTCTCCTATTTGCATTTATTGTGATTGTTAGTCAGCAATAGGACGAGCTCAGAACAAATTGTATAATGGTAAGTCTAGGCACATTCGCCGTAGACACAAAACCATTAGGCAACTTCTCAATACGAGTATTATCTCGATTGACTATGTCAAATCGAAGGATAATTTAGCGGATCCATTAACCAAAGGGTTAACCAATGAGCAACATGAGAAGTTAGTGGTAGGAATGGGTTTGAAAGCCCTACCCTGTGCTGGGAACGTTCCATGAAGGAAAACCCAACCTAGGTGGTACCTGGGTTCAATGGGACAACCTACTTGTGGAACGAAGCACGGTCACTGTGGGGGCAAGCCGGATCACCGACTTAACACCCCTCCGTTCCTACTGAGATATAGTGACTCCCGAAAACGATGAGGATAGCATGGTGCTTTAATGATTCTTGAACTATGGACAACGAGGTCCAAGTGGAGTAATCAGGATACTCTTAGAAGAATCACATATGTAAGAGTGAAGTGCGGTCGCTTCAACAGAAGGATTTCGGGCTGATCCTGTCTGACACTCTCGCAGAACCAGATGCGTGTTCCACGACCATAATGGGCACACCCATGAGAACGGAATGATGGTTGGTTGAAACTTGTGTATTGTATATCGTCGTTTACATAAACGGCAGTACAGTTCAAAGACATCACGTTCTACTGAACAGCCAGTAGAGAAGGTATACTTTANATCACCTATGTAAGAGTGAAGTGCGGTCGCTTCAACAGAAGGATTTCGGGCTGATCCTGTCTGACACTCTCGCAGAACCAGATGCGTGTTCCACGACCATAATGGGCACACCCATGAGAACGGAATGATGGTTGGTTGAAACTTGTGTATTGTATATCGTCGTTTACATAAACGGCAGTACAGTTCAAAGACATCACGTTCTACTGAACAGCCAGTAGAGAAGGTATACTTTATAAGGAGTAGGTTCAAAGGCATAAAACCTACCTACTCTTTCAGGTTTCAACATCAGAGTTATTGCCAGTTACATGAATTAATTTTCATTCATGTGGGGGACTGTTGGAAATTTTAAAGTAAATTGGACTGTTTCGGACATAAATTTGGTTGGGTCCACAAAATTATTTTCAAAATAATTATGGACGATTAATCTCGTAAGTAAGACGAACGTCTTGATATATGACACGTCATAAACGGTGCTCGGGTGAATGAGAAATTAATTCTCAAAATTGAATGCTAAGGTAGAGTAAATGCCTTTGTCCCACACCGGTTTCTAAACCTTTCGTATTCTCATATTTAAGCTTCGGCTTTGAATTGAGCTTATGAAAGGAACAAGAAGAGGAATCCTCGCGCGCCCGCCGCCGCCGCCGTCCGGCTCGGCACGACGCGCGCGCGCGTCGCGTCGCGTCGGGGCGAGGTGAGGCGCGGCCCGGCGCGCCCGCGTCTGTGGCGTGGCTTAATTTTTACGAGACCGAATCAAACGCGCGTGTACACTTCGTTAATAACGAAGTGTACGGAATTAAAGCATGCATGCATAATGGTGAAGAGTCACCGACTCTTCGTAATGTACGACGGTCCAGTGAAGGGTCCAAATCCTCTCCTATATAAGGAGGGCTTGGTCGCAGGAGCAAAAATACTCAAAAATCTCTCTTTGCGTTATATAAACTTTCCGACGATCTCCCATTTCCGATCACCTTCTTCGGCGATAACTCCCCGTCATTCTCGTTCGTCGGTGCACGGTGCTACCGCCCTAGGCCTTGCACGAAGCGGTTTTATCCTGGGAGGAGATTGCCCACGTTTGTCTGTGCGGGAGGCGGGCAATACTACCTTAAGGAAAGCTCCGGCGACTCCGCTTTCCTTACCCTTCTTTCACAAACTCCTCCGGCGTTCTTCCTCTCTTCATCCGATGTCTCTGTTAGCCGTTCAAGCGCCCGTCCGTTCGTGTTCCTGCATCCGTTCGAGCATCCGAAGACTCCAAGTTTATTTTCTTTTATTTTTGTTGTAAAATCCAAACGTTTTTATAAGTGAAGAATAAATATTTTCACATAAGAATTATGGGAGATTACATGTGTATATATACAGGAGTTTCCTAATGATAGTAGGAAACAATATTAATTACACCCTATACAATTATGGAAGCTACCAATATACACAAATATTAAATATAGTAAGAATATATTTAACATGCTCCGAACGACACTAAAGAAGATCGCCGCACGCCTAGGCAATCTCGAAACTCGGAAAAGACCATGGAGGGTAGACCCTTGGTGAAGATGTCAGCATACTGTAATGAAGAGGGCACATGGAGGACTCGTATCTGGCCAAGAGCTACTCTGTCTCGCACGAAATGAATATCTACCTCGATATGCTTTGTGCGCTAATGTTTGACTGGATTGGCTGAAAGATAGACATCACTGATGTTATCACAGAAGACCAGTGTGGAGCGCATCAGAGGTTGCTGAAGCTCAAGAAGAAGATTCCGCACCCAACAGACTTCAGCGACGGCATTAGTGACAGCTCGATATTCTGCTTCAGCACTGGATCGAGAGGTGGTGAATTGTCGCTTAGACGACTAGGAGATGAGATTGTCGCCTAGAAAGATGCAGTAACCGGATGTCGATCGACGAGTGTCTGGGCAGCCAGCCCAATCAGCATCAGAGTATGCCCGCATATGATCTGTCTGAGATGGTGAGATGGTGATGCCATGGGTGGGTGTACCGTGAAGATAGCGCAGAACGTGCTTCATAGCTGTGACATGCGGCACTCGAGGATCATGAAGAAAGAGACATAGCTGCTGTACGGCATAGGTAATGTCCGGGCGTGTGAAGGTGAGGTACTGCAGAGCTCCCACAATAGAGCGATAGAGAGAGGGGTCTGGCGCTGGAGGACCAACAGTGGCCGAGAGCTTCCCGCGAGTGTCCACGGGTGTAGAAACAGGTTTGCACGAGGTCATGCCTGCCCGCTCCAGGATGTCATAGATAAACTGAGTCTGGGTGAGGAACAGGCCGTGAGAGGTCCGCTGAACATTGATCCCGAGAAAGAAGTGGAGGTCTCCCATATCTGTCATGGTAAATTCCCCTTTTAGTCGTTCTGTGAGCTAGTGTAGTAAGGCAGGAGATGATGCAGTGAGGACAATGTCATCAACATAGAGCAGAAGTAGGGCCATGTCCTGTCCGCGACTGTATACAAACAAGGAGGCATCACTCTTGCACCCACTGAAACCGAGAGAGAGGACAAATCCCGTGAATCGCTGGTACCAAAAACGGGGAGCTTGCTTGAGTCCATAGAGTGCCTTATTTAGTTTGCAGACATAGTGTGGGCGAGCAGGGTCCTGAAATCCCGAAGGCTGAGCGGTGTAAACAGTATCTGAGAGGTAGCCCTGCAAGAAAGCATTTTTGACGTCAAACTGGTGGATCGGCCATCCTCTGGACACGGCTAGGCTCAGAACGATGCGTATAGTGGCCGGTTTGACAACCGGGCTGAAAGTCTCGTCGTAGTCGATGCCATGGCGTTGGTTGAACCCACGAACAACCCATCGGGCTTTGTACCTGGACAGTTCACCTGTTGGGCCAAGTTTGTGGCGAAAGAGCCATTTTCCGGAGATCACATTTTGGTTAGGGGAGGGGGGTACTAAATCCCATGTATGATTAGCTATCAAGGCATTATATTCATCTAGCATAGCATTGTACCAGTTAGGATCTTTGAGAGCACTACGGTAGGTAGGGGGTCTGGGGGAGATGGGTACAACGATGTTGAGGTTTAGGATTTGTTTAGGGCAATAATGCCGGCC